TGTCCTTTACCACAGACCAGAACCCCTTCTTGAGGAACAGTTTAGAATGTCAGAGTTTCAAGGAACATAGTTTTGGAAAAATGATAGAATGGTTCCGGATACCTAGGAGACACAAACCATCTTAACTAGATTTTTTAAAAACTGAAACATATACACAGAAACTTGATTTCCAGAAAGATAAGAGCTTAAAAACTATATATTGTACAGTTCTGTATTTTGTACAAACCTGTATTTTGTACTGTATCTTTCCTTAGTACCATCAGTGTTCACAACCTATTTGAACAAAACTAACTGGGACTAGAGATGAGATGAGAAATCTATTCACTCCCAACAGCGATTGTGAAGTCAGTCAATTTGAATGGTGTTGTTTCAAAATATGTAGTTCCTTCCCTTTCTCTTCCCCCTCTACACGCCCCTCTAAGGTACAAAAAGCAGGAGTTAGAAAACCAAAAGCTGAAGAAAACCATTAAGCCTTCAATTGCAATGCGGAAGGAGTCTCTGAACAAAATATTGACTGACACAGAAAGCATCAAAAGAAGATTGAAGAAATACACCGAATAACTGTACTAAAAAGAAATGGTCAATATTCAACCACTTCAAAAGGTAGCATATGAGCAATAACTGATAGTATTGAAAGAAGGAAAAACTTCACTGAAGGTATTGGCAAAAAAACAAGGCTTATTTTCTGTAGCTCTTACCAGAAATTTAAAAAATAAAATCAACCATGTGTATTTATTAATCACATCATATATACACCAATATTTCTCATTATAATGATCCTTACTAGTGATGGAGCTTTATTTCTCAATAATATGAATATTATAATTCAGCAGTGATATGATATTATTTTTAAAGCTATGCTATGCTGTTGAGTCAATTCCAACAGACAACACCTCTATAGAACAGAATATAACTTCCCCATAGGGTTTCCAAATTACTAAAGGTAATACAGAAACGGCTACAATCATACATTGATAGAGAACTTCCAGAGGTTCAAGCTGGATTCAGAAGAGGCCGTGGAATGAGAACTATCATTGCTGATGTCCGATGGACCTTGGCTGAAAGCAGAGAATATCAGAAAGATGTTTACCTATGCTTTATTAACTACACAAAGGCTTTCGATTGTGTGGATCATGATAAGCTATGGACAACATTGAGAAGTATGAGTATTTCAGAACACTTAATTGTACTTCTGAGAAATCCGTACCTGGACCAAGAACCAGTTGTTCGAACAGAGCATGGGAATGCTGAATGTTTTAAAATTGGGAAAGATGTGCAACAGGGTTGTGTTCTTTCACCGTACTTATTCAACCTGTATGCTGAACAAATAATACGAGAAGCTGGATTCTATGAAGAAAAACATGGCATCAGAATTGGATGAAGACTCATTAACAACCTGTGATATGCAGATGATACAACCTTGCTTGCTGAAAGTGAAGAGGACTTGAAACATTTACTGATGAAGATCAAAGAGCAC